ATTTAATTGTTGTGCGATTTGCTCGCCTCATAATTTTAAAGGCGTTCTCAGCGCATTAAATTTATGACTATTATTGCTCATAATAAATTAACAAACCAATTATGCAAGTTTTTATTGAAAACGTTTTTTGAAAAAAAAAAAATAATATAAAAAAAATATATTTTTTGGTTTTTATCCTTTTTTTAATTAAAATCACGCCTATGACATTTATATTTGTATTTATAGATTATTAACACGATATTACGTTGATTAATGTCACACATAATGGTATAGTGTATGCCGAATATACTTGTATACGTATGTACAAACATTTGTAAAATTATAGCAATAAATATTTATATCTATGTATGTTCCTATACACAAATGTATATATTTACATATTATTTTCAATAATATATTTATGCTGATTTTATCACTAAAGCTTTATTTGAATGTCAAAAGAGACATTAATTTATTGTACAAATGAAATTCGTAGAACTCTTCTTTACACTTCTAGCAGCTAAATGTATACATACATACATACATACAAACATATGCATGCCATTTATATAAGTACTGCTGCATGAACTGTTAATTGCAACTGTCACAGCTGGTGTGAAAAATCTCAAACAGCAATCGTACATGTGTATACATATTTATATGTGTGTGTGCTGCCGCACCCCATGAGCAAGCAACCAACAGCCAGCCGTAGCAGCAGTTTGAGGTGGCGACTCATACTGTGCCACATTAACCAACTAACCAAGTGATAATTGTGCCACCAAATGCAGGCGGAGTGAAGAAGCAGAAGAAGAATGAACACATAAATATACAGATGCCGAAGTATTTCTCCAAGACATTAGTAAAGTTATAAATTTAATGTTGATGCCTATGTATATGTGTAGTGTACGCACATACATACAGCCGAGTAACTTAAAGCGAAACAGCCTTTAAAGCAACAACAACACCACTGTCCGCCTCAATTTGTCAATTTGTCAATTTGCCTCTAAGTGCGTCATAACGATCGCTGAAAATAATTTATTTAGGCATAATTTGCATGGATTATTACTGGGGAAATGGGAGGGGGCACCATTAGCAGTCAACGATCAGCTGGCGATTGGCAACTCTATTGGTCATTTATTTTGTGACTAATCGTTTTTGCATAGATAGACGAATTTACCTACATACGTGTACATACATATGTTGGCAGCTGAAAATGTAAAAGTGGTAAAAATGGTGAAAATAACTTTCAAAGAAAATTATTATTCTTTTGATTACACAAGGTTCTCTCCTTTAAAACAAATAAATCGGTATGAGGTGATTTTTGTAAGCAAAAAAATTAATTTAAATAAAAAAAAAATTTTTTTGTGGCATTATATTTAGCCATTTTAGGAAACTGATTTAAATTCAAATAAAATAAATCAAAATATTATATTAAATCTTTATCCTTCAAAGCTAATTGCACATCAGTTGTTTCTTTTTGATCTAGTAATTTTCTGATTGTACCGGTGGCAACAGTTTTAAAAATTGTCAAGGTTTTCAAGTGTCCTTACCAGCGGAGTCGTTATCTTTGACTTGGCTGTGGTACATCAATGTGTATACAAAACTATAGAAAATTAATTTTTCTAATTGCGGTTGCTTCTCAGCAGGGAATTTTAAGCCCTCCTAACTCAAAACTCAAATTAAATGTTATATACAACCTGCAGGGAATAGATAGGCAAGTATACGAAAGTTCTAGTTACATACTAGTATTTTGAAGACGAAACCATACTAGTTTGTTGTAAATCAGAGTTGTACTAGTCTTTAAGGGACAGAAATATACTAGTTTGCCAGACACTGGATTTACAATAGTTTTTTCGGTAAAATCTGGACCAGTTTGCAAAAGTTCTAGTATACGAACTAGTATTTTACGGACAAATTCATACCAGTTGATCGCTTTTCAAAAAAAAAAAAAAAAAAAATCAGAACTCATAAGTAACTAGAAGCTGCGACCATACTTTATTAGACTTACCGCTACAACAACAACCAAAATTTATTTTGGTTTATATATTTTTATCAATTGTAAAACAATGATGAACAACTCCAATTAAGCTTGAAAACATAGATCGATATCTGATGAACTTTTTGGAAGAAATAATCTTTCGAAATGCAAGTAAACTGGTTCTGACGTGAACTATTTCTCAACTGAAAAGAACGAACTTATATCTTTGTTTTTACATTTCTAAAAATTTTTATATTTTCGTTTTTAAATAAAATTTATTACACATCTGAGATTTTTGAAAATGCAAATTATTAAATTTAAAAAAATGAAAGTTTTTTAAAGTATAAAATGGTATATATTAAAAACAATATAAAATAAGTATAAAGTCAAAAGGTAAATTTCTTCAAAACTAGTATTTTAACTAGTAAAAAACAACTGGTATTTAACTAGTATTAAACTGATCCATAGGCTGACAATTGACAATTCGTAGAACATTTCGTGTTAAATATACCAGTTCCTTAATGAGAACATAAATCGAAAATGAACTAGTTGGAGTACACTAGTTGGATTTTAGTTAGCAACTAGTAGTTTTTTCTCAGGATTATATGTGTATAGACAATTCGCTTGATGACAACTATTTTTGCTTGTCCTCATTCAATATCAAACCCATTCGGTTCGCTTCTTTACCCAATCTAGGCTAAGCAGAATTAACGAATCGACTATTGGGCCGGGTGCTGTTAATATCATTGGCATACGCCAGCACTAAGTTGAAGAAGTCACAAGATTGAAGGCCACCCCATCTGACAGGCTATTCGCAGTCGAGACGGAGCTCTTTCTTTTGTTGTGCGATTACAGCCGTACAAATTTTGAGGTTGTAATAAATTCAGACACATCACTATGAAATCAGCATTTGTCTTGTATAAATTATGAAACACCACATGTTATTTCGATCATATCCTTACGCTGTTTTTAGAAGATTTAACGCATGATGAATATCTGATCTATGATGCATCTTACCAGCTCAGAAATAACTCCAAGATGGTTCGATTAGTTTCCATACCTTTGCTGGTCACCGCTCAACTCCCGTTCGCTTTATGGTCCCTCAAGCGTTCAACATCTACCCACCTTCGTCTTCGGCTGACGAAACATCATTGGAAATCAAATTTATTTCTGTGCAATTTAGCAGGATTGAGAAATTTTCAATCCATGAGCTTAGTGTGTTATAAACATTGGTCACTAAATCACAATAGATGCATCCAATATTTCAGAAACCGTTTCTAGTTTCAGAGAAAGTTAAAATTTCAGCTCTTCCAGAGGCGCTTTATTTCAATTAAATAATCTATTCAGACAGTTTGACATTCACTGCCAAGGCGCGACGGTAGTTATACTTATGGAAATGCAGTTTTTCATAGACTAAGAGAGAGAGGTTGAGGCGGAGCATCTAAGCCATTGAGAGGCTTCATTGTGCTGCTCTGTATATGCTTTGGTGAACAGTTCACTTGATTTTATAGTTTCCACCAATCATACCTGCCCAACTCCGTAAAATGGGAGCTGTAAATATTGTGAAAGATGCCACGTGTCAATCGAACGCAAGCCAGATAATCGTAAAATTAGTTCTACAGCGTGTCGCCATCTTTTCTGCACTTCACCGATTACATGCTGCCAAACTCTTGTTGATTATATCTCTAGAATCCCCGTCAATACACCAATAAGAATTATATATCTTTCCACTTTTGCTTTATGCAAGTAACAGCTTGTACTGTCTGCTATCTCTGCAATAATTAAGTCATAAGTCCTTCGTTGGAAGAGTCCCAAGACCTTGATTGATATTCCATGGTGCACAGCTTTAAACAAAATTCGAAGGTGCCGTAGGTTGGAGGCAGTGTGTGATCACCAGCAAAACTAGCTCGTCCACCTTTTCATTGCCTTCTACAACCGTATGACTGGGGACCCAAGTTAAATACCCGCAATCGCTCTTAATTGCCATTTTTTCATTAATGAAGATCAAATTTGATTGCAGTTAAAGCAAAAGTAATAAATTTTCATGAGCATTACACTTTTAGCCATTTTTTAAATTATTTTTTACTGCAAAAAAAGCTAAGAAAAAAAACACCAGCAGGCAACAAAACTACCGTTATTAAAGCAGTCCGAGCAACGGTCTTTGGTTGTCGTTGGTTGCACGCTTTTCAATTTAAAACACAGGAAATCAATGTAGACTCTAATTGCCTCGGGCATATTGCTCTTGCTGATTGGCCAGGTTTGTTCAGGAGCCAAAAGCGATATGCAGTTATGGCTGTGTGTGTTTGCGCATCTGTTGAGTGTCACTGCAATGAGTTTGTGCTAATGTATGGTTGTATATAAATCAATTGGCTACTGTTAACCAATATGCAATTTCATAACAAAAATAACAACAAGAACAGCAGTAACTATCCAAAATACTCCACCTGCTGCTCAGCAAACTGATGACAGCTTTTATTAAATTCCTTCTGTCATTTTGTTACTACAACTGTTTATGTGTGTTTGTTTGTGTCTGTGTGCGGGTGTGTTTGTTTACATTTGTTGTTTTGTTGGCAATAAACATATGTTCCTTTCAAATTGATCATAAGTGAGCGTCAAATGAATTCCGTTTTTAATTCGCAATTTCCTCTTCCCCCTGAATGCCTGGAGCAGATTAATATGGCGTTAATAAAGAGGAAAATAGTGTACTCGACTTGTAACTGAAAAAAAAGTCGCAAATTTTTCTTTCATATTTGTAGGTACACGTACATGTGTGTGTATGTTGCTCCCGATACTAAAATTGTTTGCTAAAAAACCTTAAATTTTTTGTTGATTATGTTTGTTGTTGATTACTGTATGTAAATACATACATAGAAAAAACTGTGTAATTAATTTTCGAATTTAAAAAACGATTTTTCGCAATTTCAACAAATTTGACACAGCTTGAGTTACTTTTAAATAACACTTAAAACAAAAAGTTATATAATATTTTCATAAAAGTTTTTATTCCTTTTTAGTTTTCATTTCTTTCGCTTAAGGTACTTACCCTCCTGCCAGCTTCGTTATTGTGTAAATTCATTAAACTTCGTGCCTTCGCCGATATGCTATTCTTCCACTTGCCTCCTTCGCCAACCTCGGTGCCGCCAGCGCCATTAACTGTGGCATCCGCTTGCTGATCGTTTGGCATACCATTGATGGCGCGCTGGTTTTTACGTCTTCGCTTGCGTTTACCACCACCGCCGCCGCCGCCTCCAGCATCCTTATTGAACACCTTTGAGTTTAGAATTTCACGATTGATTTTTTCCTAGTGACAACAACAAAATTAAATTCAATATGGCCGCGCCAAATAGGGAGTTGTAAGTTGTTGCAACAACATGCGGCATAAGTAACACAAAAGTTCGCAGGCGACGACGTTGAGGAGGAAATGTTGTAAACAGCGACAGCAGAACCATTCAAGAGTGGCGCGTTGCAAATACCAGTCGGTGGAAAATAAAGGTGAAATAAGAAAAAGAAAATTTTGTTTATCTGAGTAAGCGTTTGTAGCAATGTCAAGGATACCGTACGTAAAAGGCAATAACTGATAGAAAATACATAGCAATAAAGGTGCGACTGACAATTTACGACAAAGCGATGACCAGCAGCGCAAAGCAGTAACACTGATATTAACTTTAACTTCATCTTCGGTATAATAGAAAGGAGCAATTCGTGTGAAAAAAGAATTTCGATTTTGAAATCTATAAATGGTTATTGACTTATTATTCATAAACAAATAAAATCGAAAATTCAATAAAACTAAGTAAATTTAAATACAATAACTTAAATAAAAATAAAAAAATACGAGTATAAACAAAGGAAATTAGGTACAAAAAACTAATATAAAATAAGTAAATTTAAATAAAATAACATAAAATAAAATGAAAAATATTTTAAAATAAGTAAAATAATATAAAATAAAATAAAGATAGATAAAATAAAATGCAATAAAAAGAAATAAAGTAAAATAAAATTAAACAAAATATTAAAAAAAAAAAACAAATTAAACCAAAATAAAATAAAATTAAACCAAAAAAAATAATTATAATACAATCAAATAATAATTATTAAATTAAACTAATATTAAATTTCATACAAAAAAATATTCAACAAAATAAAATTAAATAATCTTACTAAATTAAAATCAAATAAGATAAAGTAGAATAAATTAACTGAATTAAAATAAAGTGAATTAAATTAATACATAATAAAATGAAATAATATATAAAGAAATAAAATAAAATAAAAAAAAAAATAAATCGTAATATTTACATATACATATATATATATATATATTAGAAAAACTTCATGACGCAGGAAGAGCTCGGCCGATATATATAATTGGCGCTTTGTAACCGCTAAAGCGAGTTTCGGCCGAGCTCTTCCTGTGTCATGAAGTTTTTCCAATAAATGGAGGGATCTACAGTTTATACTAAGCATCATCCGAACCGCAGGTGGTTTTATGTCAGGAAGACACTTGAAGGGGTTGAGATTCCTTAACGAGAGGCGACAGTAATTAGAAAATTTAACTTAATTTTTTACCTAAATTAATTTTCTATAACTTTTTGGATATTAGTACGATACCAGGATTTGAACCCGAGCCTTCCGAATTGGCAGTACCCAATGTTAACCACTTGGCTACCGCGGCCGCCATAAAACTTAATAATATAATAGTAAAATAAAGTAAAATTAAATTAAAAAAATAAATAAAATAAATGAAAAAATGTATAAAAATAAAATTGAATAAACTAAAATAAATTTAAAAAACTATTTAAAATTAAGTAAAAGAAAATATATGACATAAAAAAAATTAAAAATATATAAATAAAATAAAATAAATCAAAAATGAATAAAATAGAGTAAAATAAATAAAATATAACAATTCAAAATTCAAAATTTAAATAAAATATATTATTATATTAATACTATTTAATATTTGGTGTAAAAATTATTTAATTTAATCTAATCAAGTTAATTAATGGCGATTTCCGAAATGAAATTAGTGTAACAAAGTGAGGTAGATTTTAACAAAGGCCTAAGCTGCGTCTGATATAGCAAAGCGACTAAATTTGTCAAGGCAAAAATATAATCTCTGTTTTCTCCTTCATTGAATAGCCTAAGGTCTTAATTCCTTAAGATAAATTCAATATTTCGCCTTCTTTACGTTTAACAGGAACTTTTGAGGCATCTTGATCTCATCAACTCTTGAACTCGAGCTGAACTTTAAACAAACAAGGAAACTTTGTGTTATATTCAACTTGCTAAACTCCTCACAGCTTTTGCTACGTACATAGATTAGTGACAGAATGTATGTATGTTTCTGTGTGTGTATATATGTATATGCATCCCCTTTGCATAAATTCCACTTAGCAACTCGTATTTTGTGATCTGCCATATGCACCTGCTGTTTCTGCGCTAATGAACTTTTCCGCGTGCTCATATACATACATACGCGTAAATAACCACTGTAGGCTGCGCCAACAATTACGCCTGCAAGAAGGCGGCAGCGTGTCACTGCTAAACGAATTACCCGACTAAAGTCATCATTGTCGTGTCCCCCTATGATGAAACAGCCAACCTATGCCTCCTCTACTACATATGCAACTCTTGTAAGGAGCATGTGGAGTACCCAGCGTTGACATCCAATCCACACCCCTCGGCGGAATGTTGCCGGAGCTGAGACGTTAGCAGTGTGCAACAGGCAGGTGCACGCAAACATATCCACAGGACGGATGTCACTTGGATTAGAACATTGTAAGGCACTCGACCCGCTTTTCGACTGTGAGAAGCATTGTTGTATCACGACAAACGGACGGACGGACGGACGGACGGACGGGCGAACGCCCCATCATCAATTTGCGCTAACTACAATAGTGGAATTTGCTTGTTTATGGTATGCTGCTGGCGCGCTGCTGCTCACTTGACTGCCCGATTACACTTGGCTCGAACTCGACTGTTGCCTTACCTGCAATTCCAACATTTCCTTGCCCTGCAATTTCGAATTGAGTATTTCCTTTGTGATTCGCTCCTGCAACTCTAATAAATCTTCCGGTTTGATGCGTCCAGCTGCGTCTTCTTCTTCTGACGACGTGGAGGTGGTGGTGAGGTCGCGATTTGATGCCTGCTTGTTTTTGCTGCTACTTCGACTGGGCGATGACTTTTGTGTTTGCTGTGTTGTTTGTGTGTTTGTAGTTTGCTTAGCGTCGGCGTTGGGTATTCCTGTTGACATGTTGGTATTATTTGTTGCTTGCACGTTATTGTTGTTGTTGTTGTTGTTTGAATTGCCATCAACACTGACAGTTTTATTGGAATTTTCCTGCAGTTGAGATTTGGTTTGTTGCTGCTGTTGTTTGTTATCCTTCTCATTGCTGAGATATTCATTTGCGTCTGCGCCTGCTGATATTCCCTCTAATTGCGCTATTGCTGTTCTCGCTGTTGTTGTAGTCGTTGAAGTTGTTGTTGTTAGTGTTTGCGGGGCTCTGAGTGTAGTTGCTATTAGTGCTACTCCTGCGGCAGACGCATCATCGGCTTGCTGGATTTGTTGTAGTTGCTGTTGCCGTCGCTGATGGAGACGTCCTCGTTTGCGCTCCGGATTGCCGGCACCGCGTGTGCCGCGACGCGTCTCCTTTTCGCGTACATCAATGAAGTCGGTGGCAAATCTGCATGGAGAGAGGGGAGGAGAGCAAATAAGTAAAACAAACGAATTAGTTTAGGCGGAAATGTAAGAAGCTTTTTTAACTTAAGTACAGCAACTGTTTACACAGGGTAAAAAAGTTGTTTACTTTTAACGGTATTCTCTGTAATAAAAGTGTTAGTATTCGGGTGCAATAGCCATGTCATTAGCAGTGCGTATCACCATGTTGGGATTCGAGGGCTCGAACCCTCGCCGGAGCAACTTTGAGAATTATTGAAAATTTATAAAAAAAAAATAACTTTTCAAATTCTAGTCGCCCCTTTGCAGTGAATGTTAACCTCTCGCTTTAGCGCCTATATATAGAGGTATGTAAGTCATCCGTCCCTCGTTCGAACGAGGGCTAGAACATATGCATATTAACCTAGTTAGCTTGAGTTACATTGAAATATCAGCATAAATTTATAAAAGAAATTTCCTTAAGTCTATAATTGAGTTCGTCCGTTTATCCATCTATGCTTCCTGGTATACCTGCGACTCACTCGAACTATAGACTGCATAATTTAAAAGTACTGGAAACTGTTTTACTAAATTGGAAGTTTCACTGACTCGGAAGTCAACTTTCCACAGAACACTTTATGATAGCAGAAGGCATGCCGGGTAATGAGGTGGCCGAAGAGCTTTTCTACTCTATCGTCCTTAATGAGGAGAACTAACTTTTGGGTATTCTTGCAGAACATATTCTGTAGGATAGACGCGCCAAGGGACTAAGTGTTATTTCCAATGACTTTTTAAGAAGCTGCAAAATAAAATAGTATGACTCAAATATCTGCTCGGTGTACTTGGTATTTTTTTAGCACAAAAACCTCTTCAAAGTATTTTAATTAGTTCGAGAAAGCTTTTTCGCTGGCAACAGTGTCTGTAATCAGTGTTGCCATTGAGTTTGCACCTTCCTTACTTCTGTATTTTGTTTTGTTTTTGCGAAGCTTCTTACGACTGACTTACTACTACTCTCCATATGTATATGCATGTACGTATATTCAAACTTAACCACTCCTCGACCTGATTTTATGACGATAACTTTAAAATTCGATTTAATTTTGTTGCAAAGTCTTTCATCAACTAGCGGTGGTTGGGGGGGAGAAATGAAATTGAAAATGGAAGAGGCACATAGCATTTAAGAATCATGAAAATCATGAAAAGCCCTCAGGGACAGATTGTGGCACGACCCTTTTTGAGGGTGACATAAGCTTGCATAATAAATTCAGCGAGTTTTAGCGCAGCCCAAAACGATAAAGGCGCACAAAGTGAACCCCCCAGCTGAGTGAAGACGCAGCTGCAAGTGCTGAAGTGAACACACACGCGCACATATTTGCTAAGAATGTATATGAATCTAACATATGAGTGTAACACGCCCCCCTTAAGGATAACCGTATGTCTTCTGCTTAATTGCATTTGTTTTTCTTATTGCACTTTGTTGTTCTGTTGCTTAACCACCCATATTTACATATTGCCGGCGGCAGCATTCAAATGGGAGTTTATTTGGGCCGCCCTCACTCACATGCACATATGTATGTATGTTTTTTGCTGTTGGTGCTGTTGGTGCTGTTGTCGCTAAGTGCCAATTTGGGGGTGTTGATATTAATACTTGTTAGCGTTAGCAACAACAAAAACATTTGTAACTATGCCCACACGGCTGGGGTGTTGTGGCAAAGTTCAATGTGCCGGGCGTTGCTTACATTAAACAAATTGTATTTATGGTACTCATCAGCTCACTTTTAGGCGGAAAGTGTAATCATATTACAGGAAACCAACTAGAAACTCTGAATTTTATAAACGTGCTTTTGTTTCTCCAATTTTGGTTGTCAATTAGCCACAAATGCATTAAGTGGGAAAGGAGATTTTAGAACATGGTGATAAGGAACGCCTATATAACTCACACAGCAAAATAATCTCACGCAGAGAGGCTCCCTATACAAGAAACGTTTACTAAAGGATGGCCCCGATATATCTTCAGAATATGCAGAGCAACATTTTAATTAATTATTATTTTTTAAATTATTCTGCTTATTTTATTTATGTTGATTTACGTTGTTTTACTTTGGTTATTATTTCAATTATATATGCATTTCATTTAATATTATTAAGATGTATTTTATTTGTTTTACTTATTTTATTTAATTAAACTTTTTTATTTTATTTTATTTTATTTTATTTTATTTTATTTTATTTTATTTTATTTTAATTTATTTCACTTCATTTTTTTATTTATTTCATTTCATTTTTCTTGTCTTTTTCTATTTTTATTTTTATATTGAATTATTTCAATTTAGTTTATTTGATTTATTTTTGAATATATTTTATATTTTTTGATTTTGTTTTATTTTTTAAATTTCATTTTATGTCATTTTTTTATTTTATTTTTTATCATTTTTTTATCTTATTTTATTTTTTTGCACTTTTTTTTACTTTATTTCATTTTATTTTGTATTATTTTATTTTATTTCATTTTATTTTATTTACTTTAGGTTTTTTATCAATTTTATTTTTTTATTTATTTTATTTTTTTTTAATTTTATTTTGTTCATTTTGCTTTTTGATTTTATTTAATTTTAGCTTCTTTTATTTATTGTTTATTTAAATTATGTGTTACTTTAATTTATTTTTTTTGTTTTAATTTGATTTATCTATTTTAATTTATTTTATTTCATTAGTTTTTGTTATATCTATTTATTTTTATATATCCTGTGCCCGTTATGTGTCTCCTATTTTTGCAATATGTCGCACCATTTAATCTCTTTTTATATTTTTATATCACTTATTCAAACCCAATTATACTTAAGCGCATTTTAAAGCAACTAAAAAAACTTATTTTCTTACCAAAGATCAAATCATTCTTAAAACTTTGCTGAATAAACCGAAGAAAAAAGATAGCTCAAATGAAATGGAACTAGTTCAGCGAGTAAGTTTGGTAACCGCACAACTTGTCTTTGGGCACAACTTTTAAGCTGCAACTTTACACTGTTTCAACAGAAGTCACAAACAATTTGACACACAGGAGTGACATGGGAAGCAATGAGAGAAGAAAAGTGGTTTGTTGTTTCCCTTTCTTTTCCATATTTTTAAGTAAAAGTACAACTGCCATTCTACTAGTACGTCGCCAACAATAACAAATACAACTAAACATTTCAACGCTCACACTAATGGCTTATCAACATTTCCACACGCTTGCTTTTGGGGCAATCCACTACTAAAATTTACAGCTTACACTATATAAATACTCATTCACATAGGAATCTGACGCTGGCGCTGCCGTAATCACTTCAGAAAATTAGCACTCCCCCGCTCACATCTCCATCCACACCTTGACACCAAATCACTTCTACGAGCACAAGCCCAAATAATAAGCATTACGCTATTTATTTGCAATTGTGCTACATTCCACTCTACGGATAGCGGTAGCATGGTGTATAGAATGGCAACATCAGGTTAAGTGGCAGGATTTTCTTCTATGCAACATTACTTACAGTTTACCCCAAAATGTGCTCTAAGTACATACATTCATACATAGAGATATGAGTGTAGGTACTTACAATAGGTAAAATCACACCATCAAAAGAAAGACACATAAATAATTCCAAAAAATGTGAAAGTAATTGTGTATACAAGTACAGTACATAAATAAGGTAAGCAAACTGTGAACGATGAAGAATAAGTCTGGAATAAAGAAAAGGCATTTGAAAATTACATAGTTAAATTCGTGATATATGGAGAATTTATACAGGTAACGCTGTTAAGAGCTAGCTAGCTGTAGATATTTTAAATAATCTATTTGTTGTTACCTCAAAAAATTCTCTGAACCTTGAGGAGTAAAATAAGAAAGGTTCTCTCTGTGTCCAAAATTGGGTTCATTGAAATTTGAGTCCTTTTACCTAGCGCGTATATAATATATCTCAAAAACACAAATAATTTTCAATAGTCTTAACCGGATGTAGGAACTTTATAATAAAATTTTATACAGAAACATGTGCTAGCAAAAAAAAAAAATAGTTTTTTAATTTAATTCTATTCCCTGTGGCGAATGCCTTGATGCGACTTCAACAAAAGGAGGAATCTACAGTTTATTCTGAATCGCCTTCCAACAACCGATGGATTATTATGAAGTTTATTAATTTAAAGTCAGCAACAAACTCTGAGAGCTTGTTACCTTGCTGAAAGGCAACCACAATTTAAGAAGTAATATTCTATAATTTTTGATATTTAGTCACACCAGGACCCGAGCCTTGCGCTTCTGAACATGGCTCTTACGACCTCCAGAGATGTTACCCCTTAACTTTAAATTCCATTACACGCAAGTTTAGGAATTTATCAGGCCATAAAATTAGTTATCTAAAATTATATAAAATCCAGAAAGGCTTCCATTTTTTCTAAGAAAGAATCCAAATACGATTTTTGAAATATATCGAGTGAGTTAAGGTTTTCGAAAGAAATGTTTCAGCCTGAATCATCTTTCCCATCTGATTAGACACCAAAAAACTTCATTTGTTTAGAGTTCGGGATTGGCTTTACAAACTTTTGTGTACTTTGCATGCTTAGAAAAGAAAACAACTTTCCAAGCTTTCAAGAAAATTCCAGAACAATTCCATGAAAAAGAATTTTTTGGCTGACCGTAGAGTATAAGTGAGTAAACGGAAAAAACGCGCTGAGTAACGAGTACACATATAGGAAAGCATAGACGACGCTGTAAGTACGCTAATTTTATGTTGAAAACCCAAAGGAGATACAGAATAACTTATATATCAAAAGTAAACGAACTCAAAATATTCTATGTTGCACGGGTGTTTCAGAAAAAGCCAAAAGAATTTTTTAGTAACATGTTTTGGATAAAAGAGGAAAATTTCTTTCAGTACAATAAAATTAAAATTAGATTTTTGTAAAGCTGATATGGCAAAAAGAGAGCAGTTTTTTTTAAGTATCCGCAGTGGCTTACTTTTTCAAAAACACATTTATTTTTTGTCTTTATACTGT